AAACTGCACTGATGTTTTGGTTTCTTAGAATTTCTGAGCAATACTAGGTATGAGGGTGCTGGGTTTATATGTAATAATGTTTTCCACCATTTTTTCTATAATTAAGGCAACTGGCCTATAATTCCCTGCATTGCCCTCCTAGACCCATGTTAAAAATTGGCAATTTTGTGTGTGTTTCTTAATAGTTCTGAAGAAAATATCTTAATAGGTCCTGCTTTGACCCTTCATGCCAAGTTCCACTGACTAAAATTTATTTTTCTTTGCCACTATTACGGATAAAGGAACCTGCACTTCCATCACGTACAGTAACCTAAAGTAAAAAACAACAACCCAGAGAGATGGTATTTTTTTGTTGGTTTTTTTGTTGTTGTTTTTGTTTAATGGTTCCAGTGTTGCAGTTTGAAATAAGGATAGGTTTTGGATCGGAAAAGGTTGGTGTCTGCTGCTCATAAAAACATTCACATTTGTATTCTAACGTTGCAACATATTTTTAGTCACTAATTGGAGATGTGTCTGGGCAATTGAAAGGATGTGTCTGGGACTGTGTTGAGAAAGCTAAGCTGCGGCAGTACATAGCCAATAATGGAAATCTAGGCCTGCATTGTAACTCCCATTCTTGGCTGTATAGGTTCTCACAAGAGATAACTGACTCCATCTATGTACAGACCCAGAGCTCTAGCCACCTTGAGGACACTTTTTTCTGAACTTGCCATTCCTCCTAGCTGGGCTGGATTTAGGCTTAGGCAGCCTAGTGCTGGCCTTGGGGTTCCTATCACAGATTATCTACTCAACAGTCCATTCAACAGCTGAAACCTGTAATGCAAATAGTTCATCTTGACTTGTATGTGGCCAGCACGGCATCCTTTTTGAAACTGTTCTGATTCTGATTTAATGGGGAATAGTGCAACACTGATTGCAATCATATTCATAGGTGTTCAAATTTATTGTCTTAGATGAAAGCGTAAAATCATGCCCACAAATTGTGCAAAGATAATGAAACGGGCTCAGGATGCAATTTTTAAAAATCAAGTTATTCAAAAAGTGATCAGACTGAGGAGGACCAAAGACATGCCTGCTTGGTGTACCATTTCATCCAAGGGTGGTCTAACACCATGGCAGTAGTATTTCTCCTCCAGGCATTTTTAGGTAGGACTTTGCACCAGATGTCTGGCTCAAGCTCTCTGTGGTTGGAGGGGAAAGAGAGTACTTGGCTGGTCAGTTTGGCCCATCAAAAGTAGTATCTTTAAATTTATTTTGTGAGAGCCAGTGTGGTGTAGTGGTTAAGAGCGGTAGTCTCGTAATCTGGGGAACCGGGTTCGCGTCTCCGCTCCTCCACATGCAGTTGCTGGTTCAGTGGCGTAGCGTGGGTTGTCAGCACCCGGGGCAAGGCAAGTAATTTGTGCCCCCTAACCCATGGATTTGCGCCCCCTAACCCATGGATTTGCGCCCCCTAACCTGTGGATTTGCCCTAACCTCAGATGTTGCGCCCGGTGCGGCCAGCCCCCCCTGCACCCCCCACGCTACGCCACTGTGCTGGTTGACCCTGGGCTAGTCACACTTCTCTGAAGTCTCTCAGCCCCACTCACCTCACAGAGTGTTTGTTGTGGGGGAGGAAGGGAAAGGAGAATGTTAGCCGCTTTGAGACTCCTTAAAAGGGAGTGAAAGGCGGGATATCAAATCCAAACTCTTCTTCTTCTCTTCTATTTTAATTTAATGTATTTTTTTAAATGCTTAAACTGTTCCAGTATTCATAAGAAGAACAAAATTCCTTAGTACAGCCCATGGGACCTTCCCTATCTATTCAGCAGACAATATAAAATTTCAGATTTTATACATAAAAGCACTTTTGTGTAGCAGAATCATAGAATCTTAGAATTGGAAGGGACCCAAAGGGTCCGACCTCCTGCAATGCAGGAATCTCAGCTAATAAATCCATGACAGATGGACATCCAACCTCTGGCTAAAAACCTTCAAGGAAGGAGAGTCCACCACCTCTCGTGGGAGTCTGTTCCACTGCTGAACAGCTCTTACAGTCAGAAAGTTTTTCCGAATGTTTAATCAGAATCTCCTTTCTTGCAACTTGAAGCCATTGGTTTGAGTCCTACCCTCCAGAGCAGAAGAAAATTCTCCTCCATGTGACAGCCCTTCAGATATTTGAAGATGGCCATCAAGAAGGCATGTAAAACACCTGTAGATGGTCTTTTTTTTTAAAGATACGAATACCACACCTTTCCACAGGGTGAGTTAATACCAAAACAATACAGTTTTAAAAATGCAGCACACCGAACAATACTGCAAAACCCATTAGCAGTAGTCACTACGGTAAGAATCAGCTAGGGAATATGCACAGCTGATTGTCTTTTATTCCAAAATCCCTCTGCAGCAGCAGAGTTTTAACCTGATGTCTCGCCCACACTAATGAAGGAGCTAATAGCCCTTACGGCTTTTGTACAACAGCCAGAAGGGTCCTCAGACTCTTAGTAAATACAGACACTGCTACTTACGGATGGAACTCAACTGTTTATTTTAATAAAAAAACACAACTGAGGCCTAGAGACTCTAACACGAGTCACCTACCTTACCAAATACATTAATATCCAAACCGCCACCAGGAGCTCTTCCCATGCTGCTCCTAGAAAGCAAATATTGCCTCCTGAGGTGACAAAACTCTTCACTTAACTCCTGTATGAAATGATTGCGCATTGGGGCGATGTAGTGGCAAGAACAGTAGACATTGTGATGCTGGACTTGTCCTCCACTTATTGAAACAGGAGCAGGAGCAGGCCCCTGCTTGTAAAGTTGTATGCAGAGAGGACTCCCTACAAACGATTGAGACCCCAGCAGATAAAGGGTTCCCAATTACACACAACAGCCTGGGTTTCTCAAATGGTTTTAGACGCCAGTTTCCATCGTCTCTGACCGTTGCCCTTGCAGGCTGAGGAAGATGGAGGTTTGCAATCCAAGACTATCTGGAGGACTGAAGGTTGAGGAAAGCTGGCGCAGAGCTGGGGAACCTGTGACTCTCTATTGTTGGATTGTGGGGCCCATCATCCCTGACCATCATCCATGCCGATGGGAACTGGAGTCACAGAGAACCTTCTGTACATACAGCTGTGTACCCGAGGCTCCCCTACACACATGCATGTAAGTCATGGAAGGAGTCTGTCACTGATGCTGCTTCTCCCCCTGCCCCCCACCCCAAAGCGAGCTCATGTAACCTGACATACGTGCATCTCACATACATCCTGCTGCAAACACATTTACTTGAGAGGCCACAGTTTCCTGTTGCCTGGTCCCCACAGTATACCTAAGTGTGGCAAAAATAGAAGGGCAAAAAATCTTCTCACGCAATTAGGCCCACGGGCTGTTTGCACACTATTTCTGACACGCAATTATTTTTTCCTTGAGGAAATGTGTCACATCTGGAACAGCCCTTGGACGGGAGCTAAAGGAGAGGGAAACAATAGTAATTTTGAACCGGGGAGACAACAAGCAAAGCTTATAGTATTGAGCTGGCCAAGGTCTATTCCTGGCTTGATGGAACAAAGGGCAAATAAATAAACGCCTCCAAGTCTCTCCTTGAGGGTGTTGTGGTGGAAATTGGACTGAAAGAGGAGTCTGACTGGAAAGGGGAAAGAGGTTTGGTAAGCTGTGTGGGGAAGGGTGTTTCCCATGCAGTGAAATCCCACAAATATGGCTCAGAGACTTGAGCACATATTGGGCCAGCCATGGCAATGCTGAAGGTGACAAAGCACGAGTTTAAAATGAGCAGCAAATAAAAATTGTGCTGCTGCTCGAAATAGAGAAACCAACACCCAATCTCAAGGTTTCTCGGGATAACTTGTGGCCAAAAAATTTAAAATGGCTTATTTGGTGATGAGTCTATGTGTTTTGAGATATGGCACCAGCCCCATAGACCAATAATACTATGCTGGGTGGAAGGAATGACTGAAGTCAGGGCTATAATTGCTGCCTTAGGCAAAAATTAATTTTGCTGCCCCTGCTCTTGTTTATTTGAGGGGAGCGGTTTCTTCAAGGTTTCCCCCGTTACAGCTCTCTTTCCATACTCCTTAAGTGACCGACAATGGGAAGAATGGTGGTGGAATTGGGAACTGACACCTTGGGGAGTAAGACACACCAGTTCACAGGCCCAGACAGCTATCCCCAAAAGGATGGGGTGTTGTGCGTATTTCTCAGTTCCTGGTTTTTCAAAGCAGTTTGGCACCCCTGTCTGCCGTAAAGTTAAGGAATCTGTCTGGTCTGTGTTTTATGTGTTCCAGTTCACTAGAATTCTAGTCCTGGTTTTACAGAAAGCTGGGGAGCTCTAGAGACAAGACCTGGGAGCAGATGAAAAACTATATTTCTGTAAGGCTTTTCGCATGCCTAATGTTTTAGAGCCTATTTCCAATAAAGCGGTTTAGTCACTATCCTGGAGTTAGTTAGCAAACTTGTCTTTTCCTCAGGATATAAAACAGCAGGTAACATTGATAGCAAGTGCTCTTTTGAAGTTCGTACATACATTCATATTCTAAATGAGTTTTTTACAATACAATCCTATGCATATCTACTTGTAAATAAGTCCCACTGAGCCATATCCCAGGTAAATTAACATGCTACAACCAGATCAAGATAAGAAAACCAGTTACATCTTTTCTTACAACCTATTTAAGTACTTTATTCATCCTCACCGAATGTCACAAACCAGCTTGGTTATTTCAGAGAACTCTTAACCACAGCCACTTCTTTCCTTTAAAATGTCAGGAACAGCTATTTAGATGCTCCACTTCCCCAACCCTTAAAAAAAGTTTTCAGATATAAGAGCATTAAAGCACAATCCTACACGTCTATCCAGAAGGATGTCCCAATAGTTTACAGCGTGGCTTACTCCCAGGTAAGTGTGCACAGGCTTAATAAATTGACAAGAACAAGGTATACTGCCTAGGTTTCCTGCTGACCCATTTTCATAGCTACTTATTAACATAAAGAGAGGCAAGGCTCACCTGTAGGAAAGGACCCTCTTGTCAGGGGGAGTTGTGAAAGTTCACTGCCTGAGCAGCAGCAGGGAGCTTCTGCCTCTCTTGCTTGGACTGCAGCTCTTGTCTGACTCACCTCTTCCCAGCTCAGAGCTAAGCTGTCAGTGAGACTGAAACGGAGGAGGAGGAGCAGCTTAGCTGCTGCTCTTGTCATTGAGATTTTTGGTGTCTTCTTTTGGTGTAGTTTTTTAAAAAAATAAATTCATTTTATAATATACCGTATATAAAGCAGAGGCAACAATAATTATCCGTTCTTGTCATTATGGAGAGCACAAGAGGAGCTCTCACGGGATCAGACTGAAGGCCCATTGAGTTCGGCTTCCTGTTTCTCACAGGGGCCAACGTGCCCCTGGGAAGCCTGCAGGCGAGACGTGAGGCCTTTCTCGCTGTTCCTCCCTGGCATCTGGTTGACGGTGGCAGGCTGCCTCTGAAGCTCTAACCAAGGACACAACTGACATGTGTGGGGAGACCATATCCCCCATTAACGTGCCCAATCTTTTTACACATCTTCCATAAATTGTGTGTTATGTGAGGAAATGCTTCCAATTTAATGGCACAGAGTTCCAGTTTTCTCGGAGAGGGGCAGAAGTTATCTACATTCACTTTTCTCTACACCATGGGTGCAACTTTATAGGCCTTTTGTTGGGTATTAGTGTTCTTTTTTCTTAATCATAGTTATTAAAAGCCCAAATCCTGCCCCCTTTACATTTCTACCCTTCCTTTCTTCTGTCATGACCTGAGGGATAGCTTCAGTGGGTAGGGCGTCAGACTCTTCACCTCAGGGTTGTGGGTTCAAGCCCAACATTGGGTGAAATATTCCTGCATTGCAGGGGGCTGGACTAGATTATTTTTGTGGTCCCTTCCAACTCTCCAAATCATTCTATGACACCTAACATGTGGTTCCCACAGAGTCATTCACCTATCCAGACACAGACCTGCTTAGCTTCAGAAAGCTACTGGCCTCATATACCTCCAGCTCATACCCAAGGATCAAATGTGTTAAGTCTTTCCCCAGCAGGGACTTCTACCCCCTTCAGAATTCTGGTTATGCATTTGTACACATTTTGTAATTCTGCAATATCTCTTTTGCATTCCAGTCATTTATTTAAAATATTTATATCATCACCTTTAAATAACATGGGAATATTGTTTTGCCTTTTTTTATTCACAGACAGTACACACAGACCTTAATTTAATAACCAGAAAGCTTGCCAACTGCTGTTTCTATTGATAAGGTTGTTAATACAATCAAGGGGGAAACAGTTGTACGACGGTAGAAAAAAACAATGGCAGGGAGAGAAAAGGGAAAAGCTTCATCTAAAGCATGCTACAATTTACAGGGAGAAAAATGTGGCTATTAAAATACTGACTTCTTATCAATATTTGCTTCAGACCACAAAATTGGCCCCCATTTAGCAATATATTTTAAATTCACAATTACGATTTTCTTCACCTTAAACCCATCTTACTTGTAAGGCCAAGAGGATGGATGGATTGCTCCTGGCTCCTCCCGCTTTGCTGGACAGTTGGAGAGACTTGTAGTGGGTGAGATCAGGAGTGGGGAGGGAGCTTATAATAACCCCAGACCTATGCAATGTGTCAGAGGAGTAGAAAGAGGTCCTAATGTTATGACTAATAGCTTATAATTTGTGTATTACTATGTGTAAACTGCTGGGTTCCCTCCACAAACGTTGCAGTTCTCCTGATGCAACACACTTCCCCATCTCTCCTTCCACATGCAGCTCCTGAAAATCTGCACCAGGGGGTTGGGAAAACCTCCAGAGCAGATACCCACTTGCCCAACTTTGGAGAAGGACCATTATAATATAAGACATTCCCCCATTAAATTGCTGTCTCCTCTCCTCGTCTGTGCTGAAATGGTATTTGGGAACATGAAATATGGATTCTTTGCTTGCAGTTCTTTGTATGTCTGATATTCAAATGTATTGAGCAACTTTATGACTAATAGCTTATAATTTGTGAGTTTTTAATCTAGTTCAGTCCCCTACCACATCCGCTCCTCCCTGTCTGTCCACTTTGGCTGACCCTCCTTCTTCTACTCAGAAGTTGCCATGAGAGTAGAGCTGTGTTTATGGGAGGGACGTTTGTGTGTGCAGAGGAGAGGAGTTGGATTGGGTTCCTATTGATGGCTAATAGTTGATTAGTTCAACAATAAGACAATGCAACCAGCAATAGGAAGGCTTAGAGATGCTACAGCCGTGAAATTGCTGGGTAGCCTTGGTTAAGTTACTAGGTGATATCCACCATTAGTAATACTCAGAGTAGAGCCACTGTAATGAACCGAAGTCCACAATGATTTCAATGGGTTTGAGTATTTTTAACAGCTTCACAAGTGCCTGACTCTTAGCAGCTGAGTGGGGCATTTTATATCAAAGTCAGGCACAGTTAACTGTGAACATCCCCATTAATAAGTACAACTCTGTTTCTTCCATTCCATTCCTTCCCTTCTCTTTGATATAAGAGGAATCCTGCAGCAGACCTGTGGACAGAGCCCACCCAGAGAATTGTACAGAACCCTGCAGATAGACTAGTTAAGTTAATAACAGCTGTGGAAAGGCTGAATTATGTAAACAAGCTTCAAGAGACAAAAAATAAAGCCAAAAGATTAAGAGATCATTCACAAAAATTTAGTACCTGTCAAAGAACAGGTCTAATGCATGTATGGGAACCTTTTATTAAAAGTACTATGAATTTATTATTAAAACTGTATTTGCGTATTATACCCTAGAGAAGAAGTTGGAGGACCCTGTCTGGAGGCAAATGTGGGAAGCCTTTCTATAAATATTAATATGAGGGAATGAAAATTACAAGTTGTCAACCATCACCTTTCTCCCCTTTTTTTCTTTTTGGAATGGCTGTTAATGCAATCCTCCGGAGAGACATTGACGGAAATGTGTATTTAAAAAAAGCTTTATTATAAACAATCTCACTCTTCTTACAATATGATCCGCTACACACTAGTCACCGGTTATGTGCAATTGTTACAGATTTGTGTGTTCTCTCACTATAGTAAATCACAAATCAGGAGAACTTTTACAATTCTGTTGTAAGGTAATCTGTCACACACAGAGAGGGAGGGGAAGCATCTTTACAAGAAAAACAGCAGAAACACACAAAACACTCAAGATATACATAAGCACTCAATGAAGCTCCCAAAATGTAAAAGTCTTTCAGCTGGGCATAAATATGATTTAATAAAAAAGCATTTATTTCATGTGCATAGAAATGTGTTTTGGTTTCTACACAGTTCCAGTTAACAGTGTTAGAATCTGGGCCTGAAAATATCAACTACTTAAAATGACTGGCTCCGGTGGAAAAAAAATAGCCTGAAGATTGCAGCAGTCATAAAGTCATCGAAAGAATCTGCTACGTATCATTTACGATACAAGCAACTGTACACATTAGGAGGAAAGCAGAATTGCAGTATCTATTCATTTCCCTGTGGCTCCCAGCAGAGCCACGCAGAAATATAACATTTGCAGTAGTGAACACATCAGTCTAGTGCATGGAGTCACTGTTACCCCACAAGAACAGTGCGTCCGTTCCAGTGTTTTTCATAAAACGTTAGCCATATATATAAAAAAGGCAGCACCTCCACTGCACCACAATGCAGGTGCAGTAAAAACAACAACACACAACCCCAGGACATTGAACAGGCCTCCTAATGTACTGTGACAGCCATCAGAGGGAAGGGCTGAGACAGAGACCTCTACGTTTTAGTCACCTCGTTTTTAAAACAGCAGCTGCTCCAACCCAGACCCAATAAGAGACTTAACAGCTTAGTAAAAATTGCCTGCCATTTTAAAATAGGAGGGAGGTGCCTGTTTTATCGGGCAATGTTTTATTAAGGCTTGAACTCAGTAGGCAAAGACATATGCAGTTTTCCAATTAATGAAGAGCAACAGGGCCAGCAGGAGAGTTAAAGGGAAGCAACACTGCAAGTACTCTGTGCTTCCAGGAGTTCAGCTTAATTTCTGGGTTTGAGGGAGAGCAGGAAGAAATGGAGACACTTGATCTGTCCACATAGTCATCTAGGCACAAGAGCAGCAGCTGCATTTGGCAATTCAATCTTTCACCTCGAGGGTACACCAATGCGTTTCGTTCCATTACACTTGCTTTCCCCAACCCAGTGCCCTCCAGATTATTTTGGATTACAAATCCCATCATCCCTGGCCACTGAGGCTGGCAAGGAATGATGGGAGCCGGTAGTCCAAAACACCTGGAAGGCGTCAGGCCAATCAAGGCTGTACGTTAGCATCTAAAAGAGAGTTAAGACATCTGGCAGGTGGCTCTGAATTTAGAGACACCATCACTCCTGACGCCACCAAATTTTCAGTAGTGAAGCACATATTGTACATCTCTTTTTGGGGGTGAGGGGAGGAAGGTAAGGGCATCACACACAGCCATATTCATACCAAACAGTCTGCTGATCAGCATGAGAATCTGGTGATGATGGAGGGTTCTTGGAGCTGCCCCCTCTGTTTGCTTCTTCAGTGCCTCCTGCTGGAATTTTATTTTCTGGGGATCGACCTTTGGTAAGAGAGGCCTCACTCGGGCTCGGCCCCTGGGGGCTGCTCCCTTCCGTGCTGCCGGAGACAATTCTGACAGGAGTCACTGTGGCCACCTCCCCAGACTGCAGCACCGGCTTGGATTTGATCTTAGAAGCAGCATATTGTGGAGGGGAGCAGTGCTGCTCCAAACCTGGCTTGGCTTGCTCCTGTGGCTGAGAGTTCAGGTCATCCTTGGAAGTGGTTGGGGAGGAAGAAAACAGGGGGAACAAGAGTGACTTCTCATCTTTTGGAGGCGCAAGAGAGAGCCGCCTGACATCAAGCTGCCGACAGCGAGAATTAACGCTCTGCAGAGAACCCGCCACCTTTGCAGACTGCGGCCTCTCTCTCAGCAAGACCTGGGAGCCTCCCGCTACAGGAAGTGGAGAGGTCTGGATATCTGAGTCCTTGCCCAGCTGGAGATCGGCAGTCACAGGCTTTGGAAGGCTGTCATAGCGTCTGTATGCCTCTGGACCAGTGGCTCTGAGGAGGTCTGCGGAAGCCAAGCTAAATGCACGGTTCAACGATGCGCTCTGCTTGCTCATGTTACTGCCCTGCTGAGAAGACTGTGCCACCTGCCTCGAACCCCTTTGAGATGCAGGAGGGAGCTTGCAGGAATTGTTGGAGTTTGCTGCAAACTCAGATTCTGTTGGACGAAGGTTTGGTTTGACATAGTGGCCTGGCTTGGCTAGCCTTCCGTCTTCATTAGCACCAGACATCTTTACGGTTGGTGTGACGTAGATGGTGGGCATCTTGGCTGCCTCCTTCCTATTTGCCTGAGAAAGTTGACTTCCAATAGATGGAGGCTCATTTGCTTTTCTGAAATAGTCACTCAGGAAGTCGTCTCTGCTGGATGCGTCCTGAGAAAACAAAGAAACTGAATGAACATGGAGCTAATAAAATCACTATCTGAATATGGATACACAAAGATGCCACCCGATTTCTGTGCTTTGATTAACTGATGGATAAACTTAAACCTTCTGAGGATCACCAGGGAGCCTTCCGGAAAGGTATGCTGGCAATCTTTGCCAGGGCCGCAGCAGGGCAAAGCGTCTTCATCCCAGCACGCCCCTTTCATGATTGCCAGGGCGCCTTTTGAAAAGTAAGGCGGTGGGTGGGTGGTGGCGGGTTGTTGGCCTGGCCAGGTGAGGGGGCACATGACAGGGGGGCCCCCAATGTTGGGCGCAACTCGGTGCCTTTGCTGTTGCAGAGGATCAGGCTTCTAATACATTTCCAGATATGGATATATGCATACGGCTTGTAGGCTTTACAGATACAGATACAGATACAGATACAGATACAGATACACAGATACAGATACAGATACAGATACAGATACAGATACATACAAGTAGTAAGTAATCTTGTTGCTCCAGCAATTCAAGACGTAACACAGACTCAAACTCAGTGGCAGAATCACTGACTGACGAATGCGCTGACATGCCTTAATCACTTATAAAGATGCCACAGGGCCGTTGCCATAGCAACTGGCTTGGCTGACCTTGCACCTGTTGGCTCATCTCATACATGAGGTGAAAGAAATTCACCCCTTCGTCAGTTCCTCCAACACTAGCTTACTGTGTACATGTCAATGTATTCATTTCATTGAATAAACCACAACCAGTCAATCACTGAATAAATCATTTCAAATCATAAATGGAGTTCTGGGAGCTTACATTAAGTGGCGTTGATCTGTGGCTTTCTTTCAGGAATTCTTCCAAAGTCACCAACTCGCTGCCCGGAGAAGGTGGTCGATGCCTAGCAGACTGTGCATGGGCTGGGTTACTTTTCTGAGATATATCGTATGAAAACGCAGAGTTCCTGGTAAGGGAGGCATTGTGCTTAGTGTTTGAGCCCCCAGGAGCAGACGAGGTAGGACAAAAAAGGCCGTCTCTAGGTGAGCCAGGTGTGTCTTTAGTCAGCACCGTGTCTTCACTACTGAGACTCTCTGATCTGCCATGAATACGATCAAAAGAACCTGTGCCAGGAGATTAAGACATATCAAAGTTACCATCTTGTTTCCCTTTCACTCTGTGAAGAAGCTTTCTTTGAGCACCACCCAAATATGAAGGACCCCTGGGCAGTTAAATCCAGTCAAAGGCGACTATGGGATTGCGGCGCTTATCTCGGTTTCAGGCTGAGGAAGCCAGTGTTTGTCCGCAGAGAGCTTTCTGGGTCATGTGGCCAGCATGACTAAACCACTTCTGGCACAACGGAACACTGTGATGGAAGCCAAGGCACACGGAAATGCCATTTACCTTCCCACCGCAGCGTTACCTATTTATCTACTTGCACTGGTGTGCTTTTGAACTCCTAGGTTGGCAGAAGCTGGAACAGAGCAACAGGAGCTCACCTTGTCACACGGATTCAAACTGCCGACTTTCCAACCAGCAAGCCCAAGAGGTTAAATGCTTTAGACCACAATGCCACCTGTGTCCCCTCCTCTACCCAAAGTGTCCATACCAAAGAATAAGAGACATGCTTGGCCATATGTTTCCAAAACCAGGTTAGTTTATTTGTATTGTTTCATATAATGTTGTGTGGATTTATTCTTTTGTACTTAAATATGGATATCATTATTTACAATTGCTTCTAATATATATATATATTTAATTGTAAAACAACATTTGGACTTGGGGTAGTTTTCTGAAAAAGGTGTCCTACAAATCAACAGATGATGATGAAGCACTGATTTAAAACCAACCATGTTAAATACATCTGTATTTTATGTAAGCCATTTAGATTTGTTGTTATTATTAAGCCATCTATAAATTTGATAAACACACCAACCAACAGCACAATTAGTAATGTGATCATAAGAAAAAGCCTGCTTATATCAGGCCAAACACCTAACTGTTCCAGCATTCTGCTCCCACTGTGGCCAAACAGGACATGAGTACAACAGAACTCTTCCCCCTCATAATTCCCAGCCACTAGTATTCATATGGATATGGCCTTGGATAATAGAGGTAATATACTCATCATGAATATTAGCCTTTGTCCTCTATCAATCCATCCCATTTTAATAAGAGGGCATTACCCTATGAAATTAAAACTTTACGCACTGGAATTCCAGTGCAGCTTTTAGGTGAGTATGCCAGGATGCAATCCACCATATATTTGTGAATATATCTTACCTCTGAAGTTCAGAGGGGAGCTGCTGGAGGATGCATTTTCACTGTTCTCTAAGCTATTCGGCCTTGATACTGGAAGGGAGAAGAGGCACATGAGAGCCTAAGGTGAGTCCCACCTCCCGAGTAGCATCAAATTAGGAAGAAAAGAAGTCAACATTTCCACTCACTGGAGACCAGAAAGTCTCTCACAATGCTCCTAGAAATCATGCAGCAGCAGCGACAACAACAATTTCTTTCCAGTGATAATGCCTTGCATCCTAAGAACTGTGAATGGAACTTTGCTCATGGAATCGGGTTTTCCCCACCTCCCATTTCAGCCTCCTCAACCCCCAAAAGGCACCGTATAGAGGTCTGGGGACAGCCTTCCTCCCTGAACGGTGTTTAGTGTTGAGGATCAATGACAAAGGGGGAACGACTAATCACTTACTGTGCTGCCTGCTTGAAAGCTCTACCTCAAGGAAGTTTTCATACAGGTCACCCTCTGAATTATGGCCTGGATAGAAGAATGCAAGATATCAGAACGTAATGTTCAACAGAGATGAACAAAACCAGCAGACGTGTCCAGCCATGTTATTTAACTTTCAAAATGGTATAGGTCAATACAGGGAGATGTGAAGGTGTGTTGCATAAACAGGCAACCTGTCAAGTCTGAACTAGGTGCAAATGCTAGGTCTGGTCATGGGAGTGAAGACCACACACTAGGGAGGGCTAGGCTGGAAGCATGGAGAAAAGGGGGCTGCCTGGAACTCTCCAGACTTAGCAAGGGATGCTTCCCAATATAGGGTCTCCAAAAATCTATTCTCTTCAGTGCGGCACCAATAATGTGCAAGGGCCAATGTTTCAGCTGCAAAGCGCCCCAAAGGTAGCAAATCACTGAAGATACACATTGGGAGGAGCAGAGGAACTAAGTCCCATATTCCATGGCACAAACCTGTTTTCAGTTTTAACGCCAACTGTAGAACACGTGACATAGAACATGTGATTTTAATGCCAACGGTAGAACATGTGACATACTTACAAACAGCATGCATGTAAAATGTACTGTCCAACCACCACATGTCTACACCCTTGAAGGTTTCTGCCACATTAAAGGCCAAATTGGTTTTTTGGGTTGGTTTTTTTACTTGTTTCCTCTATCTTCTTCTCCCCACACACAAATGATGTACACAGTTCGCTAGCGTTAACACATGAGGACTTATGCACCAAAGCCAGTTCTATGAAAGGAGAGATGGTAAATGAAGCAATGCCTGCACATTGAGGCTTTTTATTCGTTTGAACTTGGAAAGTGTTTGCTGAACCTCCCCAAAGCCAAGGTCCCCATTGCTAACCTGAAGTCAAGTCAGCCATGGCACATACCTCTGGGTCTGTTTTGTTGTCTAGAGGTGGAGGTAGAACCAGGAGCAGCCAGGTAGGCGGCTGAGGCAGAGTAAGTCCTGGAACTCGGCTCCACGTAGCACTGCTTAAGAGCAGAGTCCGTTGCACTTTCAATGTGGTCACTGCTGCCTCCATAATGAGAATTTCTCTTCGGCTTTGAATCCACTAATATTGAGTGGGAAAGGCAGAAGAACGAAGAGAGAGAGAGGAGAGAGAGAGAGAGAGAGAGAGAGAGAGAGAGAGAGTATAAAGCACACCAAAACTAGGCACAAATTTACCCACCCACCGCCCTATAAATGCAGCAAGCAGGCACAAAAACAGTGGCACAAAAGATGCGCTGATTATGCAAGCTGTATCACTGAAGTTTATTATCAGGTTATATTTGCATTCAGTTTTGCAACCGGATGCTAGCTCAGTGAGAACCTAATGAGTGTCCTGAGTAGCAGGGAGAATGTGTTGTAGATATTATGGGGAAGGAAGGGCCACACACCAACACTGGATGGGGTGAGAGCACTGAAAATCCTCTAAGGCTGGAAAGCTATTAACCCTTACTTGGGAGTAAGCCCTAATGAACCTACAGGGATCTATTTCAAGAATAGGATCAGATATCACAAATGCTTTCTCCCTTTAGCATTACAATAAAGAAGGTAATTAATGTTTGATGCCCTATGCAACATATTGTTTCTAGTTTTCCTTCAGGGAATAATTCATTTTTCAACACAATAGTTTTGAATATGGCCTTGGTTACGCTGGGATACTCGGTTATAAATTTAAATTGCCCATTGGAGTACTAAATGCCAAAATTATTTACTTGTAAAAGTGAGTTAGTATTCATTAAATAATAAGGGTCTTGTATACTTTCAAATGCCCAAGAAGTGCATGTTACAATTGTTTTCTAGAGTAATTCTCTGCAAACAATACCACTGAATTCCTCAAAAATGAATAGTATAAGGCACAAGTAACAAATGGCTGGCATAGACAACAAACAACAGCGACAAATTAAATTAGCACAAAAGACACAGGTGAGTTAAAAATTGCAAAGTAAGCCTGAGAAAAGTGCCTGGAAGCTGTGCATAAGGCTATGGTGCAATGGAAATATGAAAATGCCAACATAATACTGGCAGCAAACACTCAAATCTGATGTGTCCCATATTCTAGAAGTTTATGGAACTTGGGAAGTAAGAGGAAAAGCAACTTTAGGGCTGATTTATAATGCTGCCTCCTAGTCATCTACATGTAAAAAAAGGACAGACATTTGTTGTAATACAAAAGTGACTTATGCTGCACATTCTGATGTGATGCACATCCTATTTAGGGTCAGCTCTCTCAGAACAGTTACTCTTACTTAACAAACATTTTTAAATCACCCACATCTTGCTTTGGACAATTTTTTTTTAATGTAAAAAGGAGACAAAATGCAATGGCATTTCTTCACTACAAAACTGGACGTTTTGCGGATAGTAGTATTTTGCACTTTCTAAAAATTAGAGTAGGTTACGGCAGGAGTAGCTGACATGGTGCTCACCCCATGTTGCTGGGCTATGGTTCCTATCCTTCTTCCTGAGCACTGGTGCAGAGTGAGGGGAGCTCAGCAAAGATCTGTAGGTTTTTCCACACTGGCAATGCCTGGGCTCAAGTATCATAACATTCAGCTACCTTTGCCAATAAAGGTAAAGGTACCCCTGCCCGAACGGGCCAGTTGTGTCCGACTCTAGGGTCGCGTGCTCATCTCGCTCTAGAGGCCGTGAGCCGGCGCCGTCCGAAGACACTTCCGGGTCACATGGCCAGCATGACGAAGCTGCAGCTGGCGAGCCAGTACCACGGCAGCACACGGAAACGCCGTTTACCTTCCCGCTATAAAGCGGTCCCTATTTATCTACTTGCACCCGGGGGTGCTTTTGAACTGCTAGGTGGGCAGGAGCTGGGACCGAACGACGGGAGCTCACCCCGCTGCGGGGATTCGAACCGCCGACCATACGATCGGCAAGTCCTAGGCATCGAGGTTTTACCCACAGCGCCACCCGCGTCCCTATGCCACCCGCGTCCCTATTTGCCAATGGCAAATTTCGATGTCTACATTGCAATATTATCAGAGAACAGACAAACAGCATATCGGGAAGGGGTGAGTGCTGCAAAGGGTCTGTTAGATAAAAGGAATCTTTAACACAGAATATGCAGAGGCAGTTAAAGAGGATGCATCATTGGCAACACAGCGACAGCAGTTCATCTCCGCATTTGGACGGGACATGAGGCACACCAGTGAAGCACACAGCAAATCCACTTACTTAAGATGTGCACCATCACCTGTAAAGAAATGGGCACTGTGTGTTCCTTTAGAGTGTACTGTGGTGAAGAAACGATCCAGATTGTGCAATAAAAGGTTCTTCATCTTACTGAGGGGGAAATGTAGTCCATGTTGACTTGATCTGAGCTTGGATTTAGTTTGTGTCAATGATATGCTGAACGTCTATAATTTGTGTATGTAGAGAAGTTATAAGTCTGGTATATATATCTATTCAGAAATGCATTGAAAATAAGTGATAAGAGAAGGTGTTAGAGATCTCCCGTTTCCGAGAAAGAAAGTGGCTCATTAGGAGAGGATGGGATGTCAGAAGACGGCCAGAACCGGAAGCGGTTAGAGAGAGACGGATGATTCGATGGAGACTTGGGAGACTTTTCTTTGGGCTTGCTTGTGCTTCTCAAAAAGGGAATCTTTTTGCGCTGAGCAGCTAAGTGTTATCACCCAGAGATCCCAAAGGGAAGAAGAAAGGAAGAAAAAAAAAGTAACAGAAATAACTAAAATGTACTTCAAACAACCAAGAGACCAGCTAAACATGAAAATGGACCAATTATTTATTCTACAGCAACTACTAAATCAGGTGAGGGATTAGATGAGAAAATGGTGCAGCCACAGCCAATAGTATCTACGATTATACATACATAGTAAAATCATACATGCAATAGACACATCTGCTGTTTTTCTCTGTACAGTGGTACCTTGGTTCTCAAACGCCAAAAAACCCAGAAGTGTTCCGATTTTTGAACGTTTTTTGGAAACTGATGTGGCTGTCGGCTATTGTTTCCAGGGCACCTGCACCAATCAGAAGCTACACCTTGGTTTTTGAACATTTGAGAAGTCAAACGGACTTCTGGAACGGCTTAAGTTTGGCGCTTTGGTTTTTGCTATTTATTTTGTGGTTTTGAGGCTTTTCCGGTAAATTTGTTTTTGTGACTGTGTGGAACCCAGTTCATCTACTGAATGATTGATTGTGTAACTGTGGAAATGGATAAAAGCCCCCCACCCCACCCCCCGCAATCCAAACAATGACTATCATCAGTGCAGGTAAGAAAGAAAAAATAATTTTAATTTTTATCATCTACAATACTACCTTATTTATTTTATAGTACAGTACATTGCTTTCATTTTATGGATCAATGGTCTCGTTAGATAGTAAAATTCATGTTAAATTACTGTTTTTAGAGGTTGTTTTTAAAAGTCTGGAATGGATTAATCCATTTTGCATTACTTTCTATGGGAAAGTGCACCTTGGTTTTGGAACGCTTTGGTTTTGGAATGGACTTCAGGAACGGATTCAGTTTGAGAACCAAGGTACCACTATACTGCAGTTTAGAAATATCACTGCGTAATTGCAGACCAAGCCTGCATTTCTTAATCATTTGGGGGCATATGCTTTCACTTTGTGTAGCATCTCTTACAGAATTTGTAAATGAGAAGGGACACAGAGCATTCCCCATTTCATGAGCTGCATCTACGTGGTTCTTGATCCAGGAGAGATGCCTATTAATGGCCTGTGGTTCAGCTCTGGCTGCAAGCCCAGGCACAGACAACACACTAAGCCAAATCCTGGCTTAGTTCAGCATGGTACAAGAGTGAGAGAAACAGGGGAGAAGTAAAGTAGTTATGAGCTCCTCGCTGGGAGCCTGTACATTATTTTTGTGTTCCTCATAAGCCATAACTTGGCTTGCTGGGCTGTGTGAACCAGCATGTGTACTATGGTCACACATTTACCATTATAATTAAGGTCTACATTAAGATTTCACATCATTTTCCCCCATACACTTGTATACATTGCAAAGTAAGTAAGGCACATTTGAACACAATGGGACTTTAGCACAAGGTTAAGCACTTAAATTCCACAAGTTACAAATACAATTGAGGCCTAACTTCCTCTGGATTAAGTCTCAGCTAGTTAATATCATGCACCTTCCATCTCTCCCAATGTGTCACATGGGTCACACACACAGTTCCTTTGGAAAATATTTGTACAGCATAATGAAAAGTTTTCATAAGAATTTCACTCAATGCTCTTGTTTTCTTCCTGCTCTTTAATAAATGCCAGCCTTTCCAATAATCCTGAAAATTGCTTTTACCTCCAAGTCAATAATTATTAGTTGCATTTTAGTGTAACATACTCTGCTTTCTTACTGACAAACAGCTGGTTATAAAATGAAAAGCACCAACCAACACCCTGTGTCTCTTGAAATCACTACCAACCTTTCCCACTTATCTTACTGTTTCTGTGCGACCATTTCTTTCCTAATTACTCCCTCTACTGTTAAGAGATGGGCCACACCTTCAGAGTGCATAAAATGTCATAGTAAATTGCACTATATGGAGGAACCTTTATATATTCTTTATATATTTTGGACAGCATGAAGTGCAAAATCTCCATCCATTAATTTTGAAACAGTACTTAATAGATCTCACGCAATCAACTCAGAAAACATGTTGAGTTGAGATGCCGTTAAAAAACCCAGACATTTGGATGAATCTGATAAACTCAGAGAACTACTATGTCTGATAGGACATGTGGCAGTAATACTATTAGTATTCAGTAATCCAAAATAAATTTATTTACTATAAACCATCTTTCAGTCATAATGCCTCCCAAAGCAGTTTAAAATAAGAATAAAATTGAAGATGAAGTAAATAATAATAATAATCTAAAAACCACTAGACAAGAAGTCTAATTTAGCAGCAGCAATGGCTGGACAATCAAACCACAGCATCAGAATAAGCAAAACCTTCAAACAGAAGCAGCAGCAAAAGAAAAACTTTACTCCATCTTCGTGCTGATAGCTCAGTAAAAAAGTTTTATGTTTCACACTGCCCTCCCCAGAAAACAGACTGTGCCTGATGAACCTCCAAATAGTAGGAAGTTTCAGAAAAATAAAATAAATAATAATAATAATAATAATAATAATTATTATTATTATTATTATTATTAATTATGTATACCCCGCCCATCTGCATCTGGCTGGATTTCCCCAGCCACTCTGGGCGGCTTCCAACAGTACACTAAAATACAATAACCTATTAAACATTAAAAGCTTCCCTAAATAGGGCTGCCTTCAGATGTCTTCTAAAAGTCTGGTAGTTGTTTTTCTCTTTGACATCTGGTGGGAAAAAGGTCCCCAAACTAAAAACTCTGCTCCTTATTGAACAGGGGTTCAATCAGTGGCTCTTCAGACATGTTTGAACTCCAGCTCCCATGAACCATAGCCATCATCGCCAATGGTCAGGGGTGATGGGAGTTCTGTATCTGCATTGTTGAGGATCCACAACTCACAGTAGTCATGGCTTCAATGGCAGAGCTTAATATGCTGGGAAATGGTTTATCAGACGTATATTGACCCCTGTTGCATCTCAGAAGTTTGATAAGCAGTGGCTGCAACCTCAATATAATCCGTGCTTAAAAAGCAAATCAACATTCCGTCCGGAGAAAAAACTGTTTAGCAGATTTCACCCCTCCCATACCCAAGAATCTCCTGATGATCTCCTGATGGTCTCTGCTGACTCTCCACAGAGGAGGAGGCGTGTCCTGCTATCTACTTATTCTGCCCAGCACCACATCAATCTGTGTGTGTGAGAGAGTCAGTCAGTCAGTCAGCATGTCGTGTCGGAGAGAGAGAGAGACTGAGTGTTACAGATCGTGTGTAGAGATAAGGTTGCTGCTAAGAGCAGCTGCAGACACTCAGTGTAGTGTAGCATTCTTTATGCTTAGAGAACCCATTAAGCTCTGTATATAGTTGTATAGTAGTTGTAGATAGAATAAAGAAGATATTCTACAGAGCTGCTCTCCGAGTCATTTATATACTCTGCTAGACTCTGCTATACTCTGCTGTGTGACGACTGTCTTCTTGTGGGAGTGAATCCGGTGCTCACAACTCTAAGCTGTGAGTCTACAGCACTTCGACCTGTTCCTGTGAGAAAGGTGGTCTCTGGAAGTGCTACCCAGCTCGCCTAGCCCAGTCGGGGCTGAAGTGTATGAGTCCAGTTGGTGGCACTGGCTCAAGGGCGATGCTGACACCCTGTATAAATAAGTACGAACTCATTTTCAGAGGTAGCTCCAGAGTGGTGAACTGGGACATCGCTGTAACAGCAAAACCAACCTCACTTTGTATGGAGCACCCAAGAACACCAGGCAGTACAACATAGTTCTCCATCTGTGTTTGCAGTTAAAGGAGTCCACTTTCCAAAGGACTCTTAATTCTAGAATGGGAAAGTATGCCCTGCATACTTTTTCCTGCTTCTGCTGGTTGTGTATTTGTGTGTGTGTGTGTGTGTGTGTGTATGTGTGTGTGTGTGTATTGGGGGGCAGGGAATAAAGAGCTACTCATTTCACCTAAACCTCAAATCCTGCCGCCCCCCCCCAGTCCCTCTAGGTCAGGGGTCTGCAACCTTTAAGACAAAAAGAGCCACTTGGACCGAAGGAAAAAAAACCTGGGAGCCGGAAAACCATTGCAACATTTAAAACAGTGGGGAGTGTCGGGGCACACAATGCGCCCTCCTCCCCTCGCTAGTATCCGCCCTGGAGCCGCGGCAAAGGTGTAAAAGAGCCACATGCGGCTCCGGAGCTGCAGGTTGCTGACCCCTGCTCTAGGTTCTCTCATCAGCCATTAACCCCAATCTCCTCTTCCCTTCATGCGACTCTGGGCTGCCCACCTTCTTTTCAGTAAGCATAGGCTCAAGATTATGCTTGCTAGCTCTGCTTTGCCAGTGTGCTCAGCAAAAAGTGAGAAGGAGCTAGATGTTCTGTAGATTCTTGCCTCCAACTGGGAACCCTGTACCAATGAACTTCCTAATCACACATACAGGCTTTATGCACCTACAGAGTACCAGGTATACTCACACTTTTTGAAACTTTCCACTGAACATACAGAGATAGTGGTCAGTAGGTGCGACCCCACTGAGGAATCCCATGTTTACTGAATGTGTGAATGGAAAGCGACAACATGTTCAAACCTACCTTCTCAGCACAACACCCACTCCCCTATCATGTTGTCTATGAAACAGGTGAGAGACCATCACCTCTGTGGAACCAGAAGGTACCACTATTCTCTCAATTTCTACCATCTCCACAAGGTGGTCTCCTTGTCTACCCTTCCTCATGAAAGTGCATTTAAAATAGCCCACTAAAAACAGATGTGCTTCACTCTTAATTTCCCACTTGATTTCAGTGGCATTCAGAAATGCTCAGCTGTGGCTGAATTGCACCCCTTTTTTTTCTTAGCTAGCTAACCTTGCCAGCACCAACAGACCAGCAGTTGATTAACTATCCATTAAGTGCAACACCACCTACCTTTCCCCAGAGGTCCATTATTCTGCTCTCTGCCTTCCACTGAGCCAGACTCTGCGGAGGTGTTCTCCAGATTCTCCTGCTGCTTGGGCAGCTGTGATGGTGATGGTGACCCAGCTGTGTCTGTGCTTTCTGAGTGCCATGGAGGGCTCTCTGTTGAGGATTTCAACCGTTCTCTTGTAGCTTCTTTCTTTGGCTTCATGAGTTTAACCAAGGCTCTAGCTCCTATCCAGTGGTTTTTCCTATTATTGAGGGAAGGAGCAGCAATCATTTTGTTTCGTGTTTTTAGCACAGTGCAATGCTTATCTTTTCTCTCCACCATAAAAGAGTACTGTGAAACTGCCTTGGCATCAGGAAGATGACATTCCCTGACTCAATAAAAGTTGGGCCGCGTTTTGCCAGAGGATTTAAAAACCAAACACTGGGCAAAGACCCTGCATGGAGTTTTCACATAAACAAACATCCCATGAATTTTTTATTTGTTGTCTCTTATGAGGACCTTTTCAGATTCCATTCATTAAAAACCCTTCTGGGAGAAAGATGGGGACTTAACACTGTAATTGCTCACTGCTGAGATACATACAGACACCAGTGCCCTTATCTATGAGCCTTATATAGCAGGGGTGGTGAACCTTCATCCCACAAGCTGAATGTGGCCTTCTAGGCCCCTCTGTCTGGCCCTTGGGACTCACCCCAGGTCACTACCCATCACTGGCACCTTCCTCAAGTGATTTTGCCTGGATGTTGCATGTCCTTGAACTGCGTATCTTGCTGGCCTGAACGGAGGGTGGAGAAAAGTGGTCTGTGTGGTGTCTAGAGATCTTTGGCTTTTGTGTGGCAAATGTAGCTTACTGTACAAAGTAAGAGTTGCATCTGTAGCTTCACTCACTTTTGCTTCTGACCCTACTCATCGGTGGCATGCAGCCTCGGGCTGGAAAACGCCCCCACCCTTGCCTTATCAACAGTGACTATCTGTGCATCCACACATGATGAAACCTGCAAGGTGTGACCAACCCCCCAACCCCAATATCTTCCCTAAGAGGAAATGCCCGTGCCTCAATAAACAGAATTTCTAGACTGCAAGAACTGTCAGTAAGTGGCCGCCTTTCCAAACACAAAGGCCCTCGCAATACAAGTTGCCCTCGCACACTTAAGGGGCATCTTTCTGCCTAGGACAGGACTGCCCCCGTGCCATTTAAGCTTGAGAAAACTTACTTTTTTGGAGCCGGATCATAAAACTTATACTGATCCATTATTTTCTCCTCCAGTTTTTCTTTGTGTCGCCTTAATGCATTCAGTTTGTCACTGTTGAAAAACCAAAGCGGCAGGGGAAAAACAACACATGAGCACTTAGAGGGTTCTACTTGCTAGGAATTGAGTATAATTAATAATTCAACTCTCACAAAGCCCGTGTCCCCGAGGGCAGGATTTTGAGCGATGAAAAGCCCTTCTGAGAAAGTACCTATCACACAGAAGTAATTAGCTTCATGATTAAGCACGTCAGCCGTCTAGTTGGTAGGGCAACCACCACCAAAAAGCTGAAGCACAAGAAAACAACAAGGAGGATTTTAAAATGTTTGCAGTCCTTGAGGGGGGAAAAGTGCTGGTTTTGTTTTGTTTGTGGAACGTGTGAGCTAAACTACCTAGGTAGATTAAGTCAAAATCAGTTCAATACAATCACGACAAGTTCATGGCAGGATTTAATGACCACACAGTATATCTGGGCCTCTGGACAATGTAGTTGGGTGCCTGGATAGTACAGGGCTGTTACCATGTCTGCTAAAAGTTTAGGGATCAGCCAGTACCATGTGAAATAGAACCTCACACCTTCATACCTGCAGCTTGTCCCAACAAATTTTACATAACTTACCAGGTGCATCATTCAATCTGCCATATACCAGGTAAGCACATTTGGCACTTAAAAAGAAACCCCAAAACTACCTTTATGTATGCATGTTGGCCTTAACCTGTTATATACACTACGAGTGAATGAAACAAGACTGCTGCTCCAGCTGTTGCCTGCCATGACTCATTCAAGAGTACTTGGGGTTTCAGGCACACTTAAAGGCTTGCGTGCACCAGGCAAGTCTCAGGGCTTGATTTCCCTCCATGTCTTGTTGCAAATTGCTTTTGCAACTTTCCAAAGCTTCAGCCACAGGTTGAGATAAAGCTTGGGAGGCTGCTCTTCATGGTCCAGAGGAAATCTGAATTATACATAGAGGCTAATACAAGACAGCACATCATAAGGATTATCTGTGATAATTGGCAACATCACTAGTTAAGTATTTATATCTTGCACTTCTTAAACCAATTACTTGGCATCAGTGTGTCCTGCACAGTTGCACTATATATTGGGAAATAATAATGATAAATCACACCATTCCTCCCAAAGAAACCCAGGATGGCAAAAAGATCCCTTTTTAAAAAACAAGCCTTATAGAAATAATTAAGTTGACAGAAACAACGGGTTGCATCCAGCACAAGTTTCAGCACCATAACAAACTTCTGCATGTGCAGTGAACATTCTCCTTCCTCTATTGCTGCCTGCAGTCCCCAGCACAATCCCAAAATCTGCTCCAGATTTGGGGGAGCCCTTAGAGAAGTTTTGGGGGTGCACAGGAGGAGGAGAGGAAGGGGAAGTCCCACTGACTGGAAATCCATTTGTGCAGAGTTGGATACAAGTCAATATCTTTCAGCCATCGAATGCCTGGGTGAACAGGATTATTATCATTTTTTAAAAATGCCTAAATGTTAATAATTAGGGCGAGAGGTGCATCTCATCAGGGAGGGCATTCCATGAGCAAGAGGCCACTACTGAGAAGGCCCTGACACAAGTTCACACCAGACAGGCAGCACCCAGTGGTGATGACACCAATAGGGCATTGCCTGCCAACCACTGAGGTCTGCGATGGTTTACTTGGCATCCCAGGCCATTAGGGCTTTGCACACTGATACCAACACCTTGAACTAGGTGTGGTAACTCACACTGCAGTCAGTACAGTGCTTTCAGGAAATAACTCTCTGCAGCTTGCATCTGCTTTCACACCCTAGCACCAGGTTGTTCAAGTGCAGGAGCAGGGATCTATGCAATACTCTGTAAGCTGCATAAAGCTGAGTAAAGGGATCACCCAGTTGCTCAGAAGCTTTTTAAATTGACTTTTGGCTGTAATGTGGCCCAAGGGACTCAGATATCCCCTTGAATATCTCCATGCACCCTCATTGCCATGCTTCAATAACAGTCTCACTGACAACATGATAAATAAGCGGGGCGGGGAGTCTTACATATATTGCTTCTGTTCCTCATGATACTGCTCCTTGTTCTCCATGTTCTGCTCCAACAGCATTTGGTTCTGTTGACTCAGCATCTGGATCTGACTCAGGAGATGATGATTCTCTTCTTCCAAGTTTCCTTTTAGGCGAGCCAGAAGCTATTCAACAGATACATCACAGGTGAAGTTCCTCTACCTGCGCTTGTCTATTCACCAATAATAAAACGGCACCGAGCCAAAGGTCCTTTGTACCCTAAAGCTCACCAACTACTTTGGCCGTCAGATAGCGAGTGCCAAACCACTGCCACTAGTGCTAAGATGCACATGCATAGGTATGTCTCACTGAAATAAATTATTGGCTGCTTGCTGCATTTATATTGTGGTAGCCTATCGCTTTCATTGCCATTCATTCATTGATTTTAACTGGGAGTGAAACTAGGCATGACAGGCTGCACAACCCAGCTTGGATGATGGTGAAACCCTAAGAAAGCAAGGTGGGAGAAGTGCATTGTGGAGCTGAGTCCCTGCTGGAATAAAGAAGCTAAAAAAACAAGTAACAGTTATGAGACAGGAAAAGATGAAGGCATGGAAGAGGTGAGCTCCCCAACCCCATCCTGTTCTCCAGTCCACCCATCTCACTTTTTAAGGATTTGGCAGCAACCCAAGCCCAACACCAGGGTTTCCCCTTCAAATTACTGGCATTTAAGTGCAAGTCAACGCCACTACATTTTGCTCCCTTGGGCTGCATTCTCACATGACAGTAAACCACGGTAAATGATTTACCACAAACACGCCAATAACTCTCACTTTATTTCTCCTCGCTAGCAACACTCCATCTTCCTGGGCTTCGCAGTATGGCTGAACCAGGGATTGTTGTTTGCTTCACTCCAAGCAAAGGACAATCCGAAGCCAAGGTTTGTTCTTGGCTTACCAGTTGCTTGGAGTGAAAGAAGCCATAACTCCCAGATTGGACATTAATGTTACGCCAAGGATTGTGGTTTGTTGCTCCTGTTTGCACCACAGAGAAGCAGTGAAGTGGGAGTGATCTTCCATGGCTTACGGTCCTCTGTGAATGAGGCAGCATCTATTTATGGACTGGCCAAGTCTTCCTGATCCCAACAATAACCACCTGTATTTCATTGGTCCATAGATCTCACCTCACAGTGGTTGTCCAATTTAGTCAAGGAAATGTCCATGGTCTGGTACTGCTCCTTCAGCTCATCATAGCGAGCTTGACAGTGGTTCAGCTGTAGCTGGGAGCTATTCAAGGAGCTTTTCAGTTCCTTGGTGTGGACGTGAAGTCCCTCGTATTCTGCTTTGAGCTTGCTGTGCAAGAAATTAACCCTAAATGGGAAAAGCCAAACATCTCACAGTTTCCCTGTCCAAATCTCCAACAGCAATTCAAACCAGAAATGAACAGTTAAAACCTTGGTCCTTCTGAAGGGTAAGAATACAGTGTTTCTGAATGCTAAACAAAGAGGCAGGTCTATTTCTATTAGCAAATAATTAGTCAAGCATTAGATCTGCTAATAGTAAAATCTGAGAGGGATTACAAGTTTCAATGGTACCTCTGTTTTCCAAAAGCAAGGTTTTAACTTAATCCTACTCCATTTAAGCACAATTATGCCCTGCCCAAAATAATTACCAGAGCAGCGTTTGAGGGTGTATGTTTTTAATACTGGCATTTTCTAGGCTCATATTTCAGTTGTTCATTCAGCCCTGTGATAGATAATATCCTGCATTATGTCCCCAAAATTTTGCCTATGACTAGGGAAGGAGACTACTGGGTGAAAAAAATATACAACATAGACACAGAAAGTATTGTCATCATGTTAAAATGACAATGGTATAATGGAAGGCCTATAAAAACATTCCATACCTAAACTATATGCAATGTACTTGCAAACACTATGTTTTTTATATAGGTAAAGGGTAAAAAGGTAAAGGACCCCTGGACGGCTAAGTCCAGTCAAAAGCGACTATGGGGTGCAGCGCTCATCTTGCTTCAGGCCGAAGGATCCAGCATTTGTCCACAGACAGCTTTTCTGGGTCATGTGGCCAGCATGACTAAACCGCTTCTGGCGCAATAGAACACTGTGATGGAAACCAGAGCGCATGGAAACGCCGTTTACCTTCCCGCCTCAGCGGTACCTATTTATCTACTTGCACTGGTGTGCTTTCATTTTTTAAAAAATAATTTTTAATAACCGACCAATCAAATCACATCACATAAATTCCGAATTACAAAGCCGAATTTTAAATTTTGTTGAGGGGACCCATATTTCAAGTTCCGAAGGGGGATTCCGATCATCTTCTTGCTACTGCGTTAATGTCCAAATCAGTCCAAATAAAGTTCATAATTCTATCCAGTCTTATCTTGCTGTTTCCACATCTCATCTTGTTCGTATATTTTTTCTCATTTTTCTTCATGATCTCTTCTGGTAATCTCTTTAAGCAGATAAACACCAATTATAATCCTGTGTGAATTTTTCCGTTCGTCCAATCCTCAAATCGAGATGGTTTCCATATATCATCGCTTTCATAAATAACATCGCTCTTTCCATCATTAATCGCAAAACTGTCGTTCTTAAGTCCCTCTGATGAGTCTCACACACAATATACAAACAGCTCTATTTCTCCTCCTAGACTTAAGTCCTCCGACAGAACTTGCAAACATGGCGATGGTATTTTTAACTGCATCATTCCAAAGCCCTTATACATTCCACGATCTTCTTAAAACACGCTTTGGTTAGAAAATTTATCTCCACAGTCATAAATCCACAGCTTAAGTCATTAAAACGACATTTCTGACTTGGGGGGGGGGATTCTTGGTTAATCACTTAGAGGAAAAAAGAAGGAAAGTTTTTTCCTCCTCCCCCATCAAGTCCTTTTGCCATACCGAGTCTTGGCGTATCTTCTCATGATTTATCTTGTTCCTCCGACCCGTCTTGTTTATCAGAGATCTCTTCAGTTAGCAGTCCTTACTCCCCCTCCTTCCTTGAAATATGTGCATTCGCTTCCTCCTAATTGTTTCTTATGAAGTTCTTGCAGCTAGAGGCACGGATCAGAGACAGCGCCCAGGAGCGCCAAGATCCACAGGAGGGCATTCTGCCTAGTGCCCCCCATCCCCACAAATTCGGGGGTGGTATAGGGCACAGCAGGCAAGGGCAGCCCCCCACAACCTTGGGGGGGGGTAGGGAGGCTATTTACTCCCATCACAGCCTCCTAATTACCTCGTGTGGGTCGGAGAGATATTATTGTCAGCCATCTTCCGATGCGCCTCTAGTGGCCCCTCATTGCACTGGTGTGCTTTCAAACTGCTAGGCTGGCAGAAGCTAGGACAGAGCAACAGGAGCCCACCACTGTTGTGTGGATTCAAACTGCTGACCTTCCGATCGGCAAGCCCAAGAGGCTCAGTGGTTTAGACCACAGCGCCACCCGCACTCCTTCACCTTTTACATAGAACTGAGAGGAGAGACTTTCTGCAGGCAATGGCTTTTCCACCTGCCTTGCCCCACCCTGGAAGCCTTTCCCAGACCATGACTTTGAGAGCAGCAGAGGCAGCTGGGAACAGAGTAGCTCAGGGATAGTTTTTAAAGATAGTTTTATGGGTTGTGTGTCCTTGTTTTTCAATTTGATCCTTTTGCAAGGTCTTTGTATGTTTTGTGGTATTTTATGCATTGTGATTTGCTGTTATTTTTCTTGATTTTAGATTAGTAATTCTTTATTGTAATTGATGGGTGTGGACTGTTCAATTTTTATTTGCTGATGTTTGATTTTGCTGTTTACTGTTGGATTCTAGTGGATTGTTGAATATTGCTTTATTTGAAGTAGGTTGTTTATTTTGAAGTTATTGTGACTTTTTACATAGGATCTGATTGTCACCATTAATGTTTGATGTTCTATTGTTATTTTTATGTGTGCTGGAAGCCACCCAGAGTAGCTGGGGCAATCCAGCCAGATGGGTGGAGTCTAATTAAAATTATTACCGTTGCTGTTTTCAATGAGGTGGGCTCAATCACTTGGGCAGAAGTTTGTATACACCCCTAGCAATGATATGGGATAAACCATGCCATCCCAAAGCAGGGGAAGCTAAGGTGCTGTCCTCCAATGTTAATGAATTCCAACCTGTTGGAGGCCAATATAGCAGGGGTGGTGAACCTTCATCCCATGGGCTGAATGTAGCCCTCTAGGCATCTCTATCTGGCCAATATTATCTGGAATGTACCGCGTTGCCCAGTAACATGTAAAAGGGGCTGGCATAATTTCTGAGGATGTGTACCTTTCCAGCTCTTCTCTCAGTTTCTGGTTCTCCGCGGTCACTAGTGCACTTGCTCTCTTTTCCTGCTGCAGAACATCTTTTTCTGTTTTTAAAACCATTTCCAGCTCCTCCAGTTTGGATTTGTGCTGTATCAAGCCGTTATATCTGCAGGAAAGAAAGAAAAGAATGGCTGCTATTTTGCCTTAATGCGTCTCACAATTAAAACATGATTCAGAAAATCGAGATTAATTTTCTCTGTGTCAACAGATTCTGGTGGTCTATTGTAAATTTATGTATTTGCATAAGCCACAATGCAACCACAGTTAGGAACTTCTCTTGCATGCCTAATTGTCTGTGATTCAGATTGATAGGACCTGAAAGTTCTTATCTGTGGCTGGATAACATCCATATTTTTTTGGTTTATTCCATGTACTTAAACCATATACATTGTAATATATATATTTTCACACACACACACATTTACAAACATCCGATACAGGAGAAACTACTGGCACATATAATATTTCCAACACAAGGAACTTGAGAAGGTTGCCAACTCATCAGGGGGGGAACATGCAGAACGGCCTGTTGTTGTGCTTTTAAACAGATGCTTGATCTGCTGAAATCTGCAAGTGATGCTTTTCATTACATGGAAACATCATCTGCTAATATCTGCAGAGCAAACTGCTAAGTAAAGGCTGAGACCAGTTTTTGTGAGTTGTTTTTTTTTTTAAGTCGGCAACACTTTTTATAACCCCAACCTGCAGTAAATCCCCCAGGGGGGCTTCAGATGTGAATAACTCATTTATTCCAAGAGGTTATGCAAGACCCGCTAACCTTTCTCCCAGATCTTTGTGCTCCAGATCCAAGTTTTTGTGGAGCGCTTTGAGGCAGCTGTGCTGTTTTATCAGCATTTCATATTCTGTCGACTGCCGCTCATGCAGCGAGGCCAGGTGCTCGTGGTCTTGCAGGAGGGACTCGTATTCTGCCTTGAGCTGATCTTTCTGCTTCAACAGATTGTCACATTCGTTCTCCTTGGTCAGCTGCTGGTTTTGGAGTAGAGCGTTTTGGGCCATCAAGGAGGCACTCTGCGAATTTAGGGCTGAGTTCTCCACCTAAAAGTTTCTCAGAGAATCAAGAAACGTTTCATCAGCACACAGGGGTAAATTATATAAAAGGTGCTTGCACTGCTACACCACTTTGGAACTGAATGCCTGATAGAGAACCTTTCTCTCATACCTACCTGCTCATATGCAAAGATCTAGTGTGAATGTCCTCTTGACAGGGGAATCAATATGGAGCAACTGAAGAAAGACATTAATTACCCAGGCACCCCCTGACTGCGGAATTTCCTTCCTTTTCAGGTGTGCTTTGTGTTGACTTTCTGAGTTTTCAGTGCCAATTGAAGACCTACTTATTCACCCAAGCCTTTGGTTGACTTTGTCTTGCTGCACTTTGCAATGAGTCATTTGATTATGTATGTGTTCTTGCTTGCTTTATTGATTACTGCATACTGATTGCATGGTTTTTATTGCATTTTATCAGTACTGTACCCTGATTTGGCAATCGTTGTTAAATATTTTATACTTCCGAGCTGGGCTGGGGAAGAAATTAAAGGGGTGAAGCTTGGGGGGCACAGGATTCTATCCCCCATGGAGCAAATACTAGGGAGGGATTTGTCTCTCTGGATTGTGTCAAGTCTTGCATGTGTGTGTTCACAAGTCCATTCCGTCCTTCATTTTCATTTTTAAAAAAATCAATATGAAAACTCAAATTTAAATATGTATTTTAACCATAAAATGGATATTTAAAATAAATTTTAATCCCAATTCAAGCCTTTCTAAATGCATCTTGTCCTAATATATACATTTTTAAAATAAATATTGTTGTTAGACGTGCATGCTATATTGCAACATGCAATATAACATCCATTAACAACAAACTCAGGTCTCCGATGTTTACCTTTGGTGGGAATGGGAAGGAATGGATTGACCCAACAGCCAACAAGCTCACTTTTAAGCACATTTTGGTTTATTGGTTTGTTTGAGCTGAGAACTATATCACACAAAATGATGGGAGATGGAATCCAACAATATTTGGAGTGTATCAGGTTTTCCACCTGTGCATTAAGTTTTCCAAATTACGTAACAGCACTAAATCAAGAACAAAAGAAAGGGTGAAATCCAATGTTGTGCTTTTCCACTCGTTCCATTAGCACAAACATTTCAGCTTGCTAGAGGGAATGATCCTCCATCTCCTCCCCCAGTTCTGGGGGTTCTCCTGACCACCGTGGTGCCAATTTCGGGGGTGGGGGGTGGGAGGAAAGGGGAGAAAGCCCTGTTGCATAAGCAGAAGTCATAAGCTGAATCACGCCCATAAAATCAAAACACACCTCAATTTCCCTGAAAATACACCAATGTATTAATCTCACAAGCTTGTAGGAGAGGGTAATCTTTCTTTTCCACCAGATGGACACTCAAAATGATAAGACTGATGCTAGAAATCGGCTAATTCCATCCCATTTTAAACTGAGCCACCTAAAATGTTTCTGGCAGAAGTACACAGTAGGGATTTTCCTGACCTGGAGCTTGGCTGTTTGTGTTTGCATGGAAGTGTTGTGCTCTTGAAGGAAGGCATTTTGCTTCTGTAGTGTCAGGATCTGATTGTTGAAGGAGGTGTTCTGGGTTTCCAAATGTTTTAGCTGCTCCTTCAGAAGCTGCTTCTCTGCATGTAAGGCTGCATTCTGATAGGAGAAACAGAAATGAAAAGGCAAAAAAAAGATTCAGTAGCTAGATTCTTCAGAGCAACTCTGACGCAAACTCTGACACTGTCTTCCATGTTTCACAAGCAAACAGCTCATGAGTGCCCCTTAAAGTTATAGATCCTAAAGTGGGGCCAATACTGCCTATGTTAAAGAAAGAAGCAGGAAATAATGGCTGCAAGTACCCCGCATCCCAGACTTTCATACAGGTAATGAAGCAGCAAAATCAATGGTTTCAAACTGTGTTCAAGAGAGAACTGGGACCCTTAGGAAGCTGATCAGGGCTGTCTTCATGACAAGGTCTATAATGTCAGGACAGTTTCTTGAATTGCCCACCAATGCAGATCATCTCCAATATGCAAACAAAGGTGTGCTGAGTATGTTTTGGCACATTTTCATTCTTCCGATAGTGTGTCAACAGTGTGCGCAAACACCATCAAATGTGCACCAGCAATTTCTGCAGAATGCATGAATGCCTTGGCAGACCACTGAATATGGAAAGGGTTGCCTGTAGGTGGAAGAAGCTTGGAAACCACCAGCCTTAATAACGAGCGTCTGCAAAAGAAAAGAGGGCTTTGTTCCTCTTTCTTATTCAGGCACATTCATTGAGCTCTGTATGGGAGAAGGTGTAATACTGTAGAAGACTGACATAAAGTATGAAGGGAAAGCATTCTGAAAATGCATGCCAGAGGAAGGACCTTCTCAGGGGTAGCCCCTCAGTTATGGCTCCTTACAGAGATATGGCTGGCATCAAATATCTTGAGTTTGGGGCACCAGCTGAAGACCTACCTTTTTGCTCAGGCATTTGCTGAACATTACTGCCTGTTTGCTATTAATATTTTAGTTTTAGTTACTGAGAGTAACGTGGGATATTTATTTGTTACATTGTACATGTTATATTTTGATTATTTTTTAATAACCTGCTCTGGGCTTGCTATCATAATGAGGAGTAATGCATATTTTAAACAGATTCATAAAATAAGGGATGCTCCACACATTATGATTTTCCTACAGAGAGAAGTTCCATATAGGAAAATATGCCAGAGCTTTCAGAGCCACAGGCTTGTGTAATTGACACGTGGTTCCCTCTCAGCATACATACACAGAAATCAACCATCAATGGGCTGTACCCAACACTGTCTGTCTGCTAGTGCCAGGACTCTTACGCTAACGTGGACAGGTGAGTTTTAAAGCTGCTCAACAGAAGAACCCAATGCAACAGCTGCACTCGCAGAAACTTGTTGCACAACAGATTGAGCAAGGCATCGTGAAACAAAGCTATCAGCAACCTGCTTATGCATGTCTCTTGTGCAACAACATTCCACCGTCAGCAAAGTGTTTTGCTGGAACAAGTATACCACTAAGTGAATTCACCTTAGTGCAACACTGGCTACAGTGCATCGTATAGGATGAACATAATAAGCTAACCCAGTAAAGGACAAAACTTACATTCCTTTCCAGTTCTATAGCTCTGTCTTTTACTTTCAGAAGCTCCATTGTTGCTTCTTTGTGTCCCTTTTCCCACTTTTCCTTTGTCTGATGACAGGAAACCAAATTTTCATTGGGCTGCTTCAATGAATTCTGCAGAAGGATTCCATCCTCTTGCTTCAGCTTGGCACCTTCAAAGTCCCTCCTCATCTGTAATACACGTTGGTTTGTAAATATGCCAATAAATAGAACTGTGAAGTCTAACCCATTAAACCCATTATCAACTGATCAAAAAAAAGATGATCACAACCATATATATCAGTTGAAAACATTCAGCATTCATCACTTTAACTACTACTTTTTATTGCTTTTTTCTATTAATATTTGTGAGGTTTTTAACCCAAACATTGCAATGTATATGGAAACCTGTTTTCAAGTGTTTCTACACTGATGGTACATTGGGTATAACAAGCTGTCATTGCTTTCTGGGTCTTGAATTTCTGCAATCTACCTCTTGAATGCTTTGTGTTTTTGAAGACTTTATTTGGCCAGTATTTCCCAAACTTCTTATAGGAGAGGTGACATTTATTATAAATTAAAACAAGAGACGCTTTGCTCTTACATCCCAAAAGCTTTACTTTTAGGTATGAAGATGAAAACAAGACTTCTTCAGTGATGGAACCCAATATTATTTGCCCTCAGAAATCCCTAACCCATTTCTTTTTTGAGCCACTGCTCTGAGTGTCCCTCTTGATGGAAAGGAAACAAGAAAGGGACTTGACTCATTCAGCAAATCAATGGGCACCCTTCTCTGAGGACATGTAATTTGGTCTCCTTGTATTGGTGTGATCAGATGATCCAACCACATCTCATTCACAAATGGAGTACAGTTACCCTCAGCAGAGGTCACTCCTTTGTGAGCATATGCTTTGATCTTACAGGAACCTTTAATCCATTTCAAAAAACACTAATGGATCCCGGCACACAGTTTGGGGATTATTATGATCCAAACCCAAAATCTGTTGGGATGGCAGAGTTTGGATTCAACAGATCTTGAGCTTTCCTGGCTAAGCTGAAGATATACCAATGTAAATCCCTGAGACTGTATAAATTAAGTCAATGTATAAAAAAGGTGGGTTACAGGGGTGTGATGCAGGCAGAAAAGGACAAAGAGAGACACCCCTTCCAAACCCCTTTCAGCTCAGTCACATGACCTAGCATCTCAGCATAATTTAGATGGTAAAAAAGGGTAGTGCAAATGAAATTCCTCCTGAACGGAGTTTGGAACTGGGTAAATCAAGCCAATGTAACTTACGTTGGCATAAATTAGGCCATCTTTCTTGAGTTGAGATTGAAGAAACATCATAATGCAAGCTAATGAAACATCTAAACTTTGCGCCAACCTTCTTGTTGATATGCACTTTTATTTTGAAGACTCATCTATGGTGTGTTCCAGTCAGGGCCCCACATGGGTTTTCTATGGAACTACACAAACACACAAAGTTGCTATTTGCCCCTGCATACAGCATGTTTGAAGGCAAAGAGCAGCCAGGGGTGGCGGCACGATAGGCAGTTAACTGGTGTGCATTGGGTACAATTTCACGACCTGGATGGAGTACAAATTCCACAGTTCGCTTTTCTCCAGAATAAAAAGTGGCCCACATGCTTTTCAAATAATCAATTTTTCATAACATGCAGTTTCACCCTTTATATTATGAAGCAAAGGTTTCCCTCTTACGGTGTTTAGTTCATTCTGTAACTGCTGATTCAAGGTGAGAAACTCTTGCAGCTGGGCCTCCAACACAGCAATTTTCTCTTCTTTATCGGATAGCGTTGTCTTTAGGTCACATTCAGTTTTGCTTTCCAGTATCTTATACTTCCTGTGAAACAATGACCATATCAGTAATGAGAAAGGCACAAAAATTCTGCCATACTGAGGTGCAAAAATTCTGCCATATTGAGGCATTTCAGCCATTCTTCCTGAATATTAGAAAAGAGCCCACAGAACCATTGACTTTCCATCAGTATCCTACTTTCTCATTTGCAGAGATGTACTTATGGGGTTAGGGACGTGGGTGGCACTGTGGGTTAAACCACAAGAGCCTAGGACTTGCCGATCAGAAGGTCGGTGGTTCGAATCCCCGCGCTGCTCTGGTTCGCCAGAAGCAGCTTAGTCATGCTGGCCACATGACCCGGAAGCTGTACGTCAGCTCCCTCGGC